GTATCCAATAGGTTCCACCCTATCCTATGTACCCTCACATCTGATTCCAAATTTTAAGATCTTCTCTATCTATCTATCAATCTCTCTCTCTCTCTCTCCACATTTCTGAGTAACCACAGAGCTAGGTCTACTACTCCTGTAATAATAGACCCATAAACCTACTAATAAACACAGAGAGAGAGAGAGAGAGAGAGAGAGAGATGCCTCTAGAGAATTGCCATAAACCTACGGTGTTTGACAATCATCCTATATACCAATCAAAACATAGTACAAATCCATTTTAAGACAATCTTTTCTTTTCATTCCCACCTTCCAAAATTTGCAATCCCTTCACCCTCAATCAAAACATATTTATAAATAAAATAATAATAAAAAGAGAAATCCCAGCTCCCAATTTGCAGCCAAAATACGAAAATCCATCACCTATCATTTCATTACACTGTTGCCAAAAGTCAAACATATCCCCAGTCACCCCTTTTCATAATTTGTCAGTTCTTCACCGGTAGGAATTCAAAAAATTTGTACGGCGGAGTAACTGAATTCACCCCCGCCCAGCCTTCCTCCTCCTCCTCATCCTGGCCGCCTCCTCCGCCGCCGCCGCTGCTCTCAAGAGGGAACAGCTGGAGGGTCTGTGTCTCCTCAATAACCCCACCACCACCACCGCCGCCGCCGCCGGAGCGGCCAAGATTCTGATGAGGGTCGAAGAAGATGTTGATGAAATCTGGGTGGTGGTGGTGGTGCATTTCCATAGTAGGAGTAGCAGCGGAAGAAGAGGTGAGAGAAGAGTGGAGGGTGGTGGGGGATATTGAAGAAGAGCAGGATAGATGCATCATCTGCCACGTGGCATTCCTCCTCTGCTGGGTTTCATCTGGGTCGTCGTTTTCATCCTCTTCGTCAAACTGTACCCATCCATCTGACCCTAATTTACATTCTGCTGCCATTTCTCCACTTTTCTGATAAACATATATTTAATGCATCTGGATTAATTAATAGTGGCCAAGTATTTCTACAAACAACTAGTAATTTATAATACATGCTTTACTCAATAATAATAAAAAAAACCTATATATATACACAAACCAAACATTGTTCACTTAAATAATCAAAAGTTTAATTTTTTATGATATTTAAAAGAAGTAAATAAATGATGATTGTTATATACTAAGCTCCGGACTATTTTACGCGATCAATTTTATCGACATTTCTAATTATGTACGTACACTTGCTCCGTACTATTTTATGCGATCAATCATAACTACATGGCTAATTATATGCGTACACTCCTTCCGTACTATTTTATGCGACCAATTTTATCGACATTGCTAATTATATACGTACGTACACTCCTTCCGTACTATTTTATGCGATCAATTTTATTTACATTGCTAATTACATACGTACGTACTCCCTCCGTACTATTTTATTTATATAAAATTTGTCGTTTCCGGAGTTTCGTACATACATAATCATTTATACGATTGTCGCTTTATTATTAATCGCGGAGAGATAAGAGGAATACGTTAAGGTAATTAATGTCGAGATGATCTCGATTTTTTATAAATTTTGTCTTAACCCTAACCGACAAATAAAACGAAAGAGGCTGAATAATTTTTTTTAGGTGAAGTTTCCAAAACTCAAATACTTTAAAAGAAAAAAGAAAAAGATTAAAAGAATTTGATTGAGGAAAATAAAAATGAAAAATAATGTTTGAACTTGATAGATGATATAGATTATTAATGCAGTGAATAATATATATAAGCACAAACCCCAAAAACCCTAGGTAGGCAATGTTTCATAACAATAGCAGCCCAGACAGAAAGGAAAAGTATGCAGCTTTTGGACCCTCCTTTTCATTTCCCAACAACACAAAGCTTAATTTAGATCCTTCTTCTAACCCAAACCCACCCACCCCCCCCCCCCCCCCACCCCACCTCTTGATTTTTTCACATACATTTTTTTTTTTTTTGGCTAACTAGAGATCTAATTAAATATGGATTAATCAGGTGGTAATTATGAGCTAATTATGGATCTGATCTCTAAGCATATCATGCATATATAAAAGCAACAAAAAACAAAGAAGAAAAAGGTGAATACAAAAAAGTGATGAATGAACCTCTGGATTTGTAGTACTTGAGTTTGTAAGAGATGCCCAGTTCTTCGTCTGTTCAACTTCAAATGCTGTCCTATTTCCCCCTGTTCATTTTATTTTTTTTTTGAAAAATAATTAATAAATAATATGCAACTGCTAATTATTACCCACCATTTAATTTGTGCTACCAAACAAATGGGGTTACGTTGCAGAAAAAAATTAAGAAACACACACACACACACCTGCAGCTGGTTCTTGTCTCTTTTGGGCGGTGTCATTGATCTGAATATTGTTGTTGTTGTTATGGTGGTGGGGTTGGTGTTCGTCGCAGAGCGATTCAAGGTGGCGGCGGCGTTTTTGGCGCTCTCTAGCCTTGTGATTCTGAAACCAGTAAAAGACGTTCTTGCCCTCTATCTTGCCGTACCGCCGGAGCTGGGCGGTTATTTGCTGGATTTGCTCGGCCGACGGCGTCCTCGTGCCCCTCCTGTACAGTTCTTCCAGGGTTTGGAGCTGCTCCGGTGTTGGGTTCCACCGCGAACTCACCACAACCTGTTGCGTGTTCAGCTCTCTCTTGTTCTGCTCCGCCATCGCCGCTGAAATCAAATATATTTTAATATTAAAAAAACAAAGTCAGCATGGAAAAAAGGGTTTTTTGTAAGAAGATGTGAACTTGCCAAGATGGTGATTTAGGGCAAGAAGATCAGTCCCATGTATACGGGCAGCAAAACAAGGTGGGGTTGAGGCGGCGGCGGCGGCGGCGGTGGCGGCTGGTCTGGGCATGAGTGGGCGGAGCTTACGGCCGGTGAAGGGATCTTGAATGCTATCGAAGTCTCCACCATCGTTGCATCCCATCATCCACATCATTCGATCATGCAATTTAGCTAGGCTGCAAACACAACTAAATCTTTTTGGCTTCTTAGTTATTTTTTTTTTATATAAATACAACTGCTTGAAAAGAATGAATTAATTTTAATACACCAAGTAAAATAAGGCAAAATGGGAAAAAATGAGAGAGAGAGAGAGAGAGAGAGAGAGAGAAGAAATGGGGAAGAAAGAAAGAGAAAAGGGAGTGTGGTTTGTTGGTTGAAATAGAAACAAAAAGTGAAGTTGACTGCGCTATGCTATGCTATGGTATATGATGAAGCTGAGAGGAGGGGGTTTTGGTTTCATATATAATATTCAAGAAAGGTGAAGAGAGAGAAACAAGCTAAGGAGAGAGAGAGAGAGAGAGAGAGAGAGAGAGAGAGAGAGAGAGAGAGGGTGGAATTATATTGTGGGAGTTATTGGTATATGTGAAGGGCGGTAAGAGAGGGACGTGCCGTAGAGGAGGGTTATCATAAGGTCCATCCCCCCATTTCTTTTTTTTTCCCCCCTCATCCATAAATTCTCGTTTTCTTCTCTCTCTTTCGGCGGGTGTCTAGGGCCTTTCAAAGTTATTCCCAATCCGAAATTCCCCCCACCCCCCTTTACCCCACCCCCCCCCCCCTCTCTCTCTCTCTGCCCCTTTGTCTCTACCAACACCACATCATCACTCTCTCTCTCTCTCTCTCTCTCTCTCTCTCTCTCTCTCTCTCTCTCTCTCACTCACAGCCTGATTTGGACAAACTGAAAACCCTTACCCTTACCCATCTCTAGGGTTGGTTATTGGGTCGGGTTTTTGGATTTTTTAGTTGGGTGGGTGCCTGTGAATTTGGGCACCATATTTTGCTACTTGATACCGGCCCGGATCCGTCTTTATCCTTTTTCAATAAAATTAGAAAAAACATCTTTCAATTACTAGCACAAAAAGGCGAAATTTCTCGCTCGCAGGGCCTTCATCTCTTAACCAGACAAGTATTTGATAGATGAATGTGAACAGCATGTTAGGATAGTGAAATGTAAACGGCATGTTAGGATAGCGAACGAGGATCTGGTGTCCACAAGGAATCAACCCTCATTGGAGTTAAAATTCTCACACTGCTGCTTGTATTCGATCCTTGGACCTTGCACCAACTGACCTGCCACATAACCAGCTGAGTTATTCCCATGCGGACATCTTTCAATTACTAACATATATGATTAGAAGTAGGAGCGGCAAATCGGACCAAATTAATTATTAATTCGGTCAACTTCGATTCAATTTTTATTTTCTTTTTTTTTTTTCAGTGTTGAAATAATATTTTTCACTTCAAAATTGTTAAAGTTCCAATTCCTACTTTTCTGTTTTTTTTTTTGAATGTAAATGGTAACATATTTAGATCATGATCTCGTATTTGATATTAATATCCAAAAATTCCGACTTTTTCCCAAACATTGCACTTACAATATCATTATATTAATGGTTAATTAGGGAGAACCTCCTCAAAATATATTTATATTAGCTGAAGTATGGGTCCAATTTTTTTTTGCCGTTTAGCAACATCCATCTCTTGTTTAACTTCTATAATTATCTTAAATTCTAATACTATTGATATGCCTATCACACTGATACGATATATATTTAATATATCGTATATTTATTCGTTAGTTATTATTTTATTATTTAATATATATTATTTAAGTATTAATTTAGTTATGAGCCGTAGGTTTAGTATTTAGGATAGATATTAAGTATTTTATTAGGATTGGTAATTATCTTTCCCAGTTAGATTAGGATTCTAGGGTTTTATTCTCTTTAAATAGTCGTATTGTGCTAGGGTTTTATTATGAAGAGAAATAATAAAGAACAGTTTTCTTACGTTCGGTAAAGAAATCTTATGATACTCAAGAGATCGCATCAATTGGTATCAGAGCGAAGTTGCGATAATACCAATGCTTCGTTAGCAAAGCAGAGATTATATCAAAGCTAAGCTGGAGCAAAGTTCTCTCGAGTATCATAAGATTTCTGTACTGAACGTAAGAAAACTCTTGTTTATTATTTCTCTTCATTATCAAAACCCTAGCACAATACGACTATTTAAAGAGAATAAAACCCTAGAATCCTAATCTAACTAGGAAAGATAATTACCTATACTAATTAAATACTTAATATCTATTCTAATCTCCTAACCCTAAACTAATATACGACTATTTCAATGTAAATATACTATACTAATTAATTAATAATAAAATACTAACTATTAATAATTAAATAATATATTAAAATAATATTTCGTATCAAACCACCCCTCTTGAAATGAACCTTGTCCTCAAGGTTCGAGTCAATTTGGTCCCTCTCCTTTGCGTTTCCACCTATGTTTGAATGCCTGTATACTTGAACACCTTAACTCCTGGTACATGAATGGTGTCTTCGTATTCCAATCCAAACTCCTTTTCCTATTGGGTTGACTGGCCTTTAAATGGTGCTCCACAAAATTTACAGCCACGAAGTTATGAACCAAGAACTTGTGATTTTTCTTAATAGAATAATGAATTAATTTAATTGAATTTCCATGGTTCGCCATATCAAAGGTCAGATCTTTGACCATAAAATCCGACCTAATATTTTGATCTCCGCACTGGTCTAATTTCTTCACAGCAATATCATCACCATAGAAAATTTCTAATTTGATATTTTGATTCGATGCAGCTTCATCATGTACACGGTCCTTCTTTTCCGCGTCACAACATTCCTCAACTATCAATTGGAATTCTTCGGTTTCTTCCCTAGATAAATTTTCATCTTCGTCCCAAATTACTTCTACCGAATCCGGTGATTCTTCTTTCGCAGCATTAACGAAAATTTGAGCCTCTTCAAAAAATTCATCGTCGTCATCTTCCTCAGCCTCTTGCGGTAGTCTTGGCATTGGTGGCGGCGGCGGATCTTCAAAAAAGTCATCTTCGTCCTCTTCCTCTTCCTCCGACAATAGGCTCGGCGGCCGCGGCAGTGGCGTTGTTGGCCGGCGGTGGCGGTCGCTTCGACTCTTATAATGGCGTCGTCCTTGGCTTTGTTCGAGCAACTTTTGGACACCAATCCGTATCTTCTCCACGGATTTCTCCAATCGCTCTAAACGTTTTCTCTCGGACGGCATAATTTCGCAAAGTGTTGATGTAATCTCAACTTTGCTCCAGCGTAGCTTTGATATAATCGCTGCCTTGCTAACGAAGCGTTGGTGTTAATCGCAACTTCGCTCTGATACCAATTGATGCGATCTCTCGAGTATCATAAATATTTCCTACGAAACGTAAGATCTATTCTTTAATATTTCTCTCTTCATAATCAAAACCCTGGCACAAGACGACTATTTAAAGATAATAAAACCTAGAATCCTAATCTAACTAGAAAAGATAATTATCTAAACTAATAAAATACTAAATAATCTCCTAAATACAAAACTCACGGCGTATATTATCATGAATATACTAATCTAATTAATTAATAATAAAATATTAACTAAACAATTAACTAAATAATATAATAAATAATATGTCGTATCAAACCACCCCTCTTGAAATGAACCTTGTCCTCAAGGTTCTGCCCAATAATCGTCTCTTTTTTTCTGTGTTTCCATCTATGTTTGACTTCATCGACTTGCTTCCCGATTGACTCCGATGATGTTCAACGGAAAAAAGATGAAGGACTATTGACGATTTCCATGATACGATCTCTTGTGTATCATAAGATTTCCATGATGTTCAACGGAAAAAAGATGAAGGACTATTGACGATTTTGAAGGACATTAAGAAATCTAACACTGCTATTGAGACGATTGATGTATCACTAAAAGTGTCAAATATCTCCTTGATGACGTTTAATGAATTGTTTGACCATAACAAACAATATGTTAAAAAGTCAACGATTGTGGAGACATGTGATGAAGTAGTTGATCAATTGCTTGAGATTCCTGTTCTCAGCATCCTACATGGGAATAAATCCTGTTTGAAGAAATTTGATGGCATCAAGCATCGATGGAAACGCAAAAGAGATGACCAAATTGACTCGAACCTTGAGGACAAGGTTCATTTCAAGAGGGGTGGTTTGATACGATATATTATTTAATATATCGTTTAATTATTAGTTTAGTTAATAGTTTATTATTAATTAATTATATTAGTATATTTATGATATATATATGGCCGTGAGTTAGTGGTTAGGTTAGATATTAAGTATTTTATTAGTTTAGGTAATTATCTTTCCTAGTTAGATTAGGATTCTAGGGTTTTATTCTCTTTAAATAGTCGTATTGTGCCAGGGTTTTGATTATAAAGAAGAGAAATAATAAACAAGAGTGTTCTTACGTTTCGTAAAGAATTCTTATGATACACAAGAGATTGCATCAATTGGTATCAGAGCGAAGTTGCGATTAACACCAACGCTTCGTTAGCAAGGCAGAGATTATATCAAAGCTAAGCTGGAGCAAAGTTGAGATCACATCAAAACTTTGTGAAAATCATGATGTCAGAAACAAGACGGTTGGAGCGATTGGAAAAATCCGTAGAGAAATTACGGTTTGATTTTCAGAAATTGCTCGAACAAAGTCAAGGACGACGTCAACACCAACACAAATTGTTAAGTTACTGATCCGCTTTGCTCTCCCAGCTCGTTTTCTACACTACCCTAGGTGATCTAAGTAATTAGCATCATCACATCTGCTTTATTCAACAGACTGTATACATTGCTGTATATTACTATACATTACTATAGTAACATGTAGTTACATATGCATATATTTGTGTACGATTTGTATTTTATTGGTTTTAAGGTGATTTATAATATAAATATTGATATTTGTAATTTTTTGTTGTTAGGGTTTATGAGTATTCGTGTGTGTATAGAATTGATCGACTAAAAATATGGGCTAAAAAAAGAATATAACTATGCATTACTATGGTTACTACAGTTACATGTAGTTATTTTCAGTACAGTAAACATATTGATTTGAAAATTAAAAAAATTAAAAAATAATTTTTTTTTAAATTAAAAAAATTAAAAAAAATTAAAAAAATAAAAATAAATCAGCGAAAATGATAAATGCAGGACCAGAAATGTTGAATGCAGTTTGGCCGAAAATTGCATATAAGGGTAGTATAGTACTTTCGCTTCTCCAGGGGGTATGTCAAAGGATGATTTGGGATTGAGTTTATCCCTAGTTTATTTTTGGCTAGATTGCGTCGAGAACATTGCGGGCGGAGGTCGGGATGGAGATGGTGTGGTGTGGCGACGGTGTGGTGACGATGAAGAGACAAATATAGGGTTTTTTTTTGGGTAGATCGGCGTGGGTGGAGGAATTTTGCGGATGTTGAATCCTTAATCGACTATGTTTTAGTAGTTAATCGACTAAATTTTTTAATTC